TAAATGAAATAAATCGACAGATAAAAATAAATTGAAATAAACGTTAATAAATTAAATAAATTGAGAAATAAACGTTAATAAATGAAATAATTAAAAACAAATTAAAAACGAATAAAATTAGAGGAATAAATAGAAACTAATCAATGTGGCAATAAATAAAATCATTAAAATAAATTAATTAAAATAAATCCTAACGATTTATAAAAGTTTATAAAGTTTGATTTTCCTGCTTTGTTAATTAATAACTTGGTAATTCATTAAAAAGTTTCATGCATCGATGAGTTTTAATTATTAATTTTTAAAGCTGTAGTTAAATTTTAATTATTCTTGATTGGAAGTCGATTGGTGGCTTTTAATTGAATGATTTTCATTAATTAGTATTTGATTAGTTATTTATTTAAATATATTGTAAATTTTCATTCGTGACTTTCATTAATTACTATTTGATTAGTGATTAATTTCGATATAGTGTATATTTGAATTAATACTTTTCATTAATTAATATTTGAGTCATTACTTAAATATATTAGTGTGTTTTAATTAATATTTTTTACTAATTAATGTTTGATTATTAATTTAAATATATTGTAAGTTTTCATCAGTAATTTTAATTAATATTTTGTTATTTAAATAGATTCGTTTTAATTAATCATTTTCGTTAATTAATATTTAATTAGTTATTTTCTTAAATGTATCGTGAATTTTCATTAGGAATATTAATTAATGTTGGATTATTTAAATATATTAATTTATTTAAATTAATTGATATTCATTAATTATTAGTTATTAATTTAGATACAGTGCAGATTGCCATTAAGAACTTCCATTAATTAAAATTCCGCCTGCGGGGAATTCCAAGCTCCAAAATCCCGGGATTTTCCCCGGAATTCCCGGAAAATCCCTCGGGCGTTTTTCCCGCTCCGCAATTCCCGGATTTCGGCGGGAAAAGCCGGGAATTCCGGGAATTCTGGGCTGGGAAATCCGGGAATTCTGGGAATTCTGGGCTGAAATTCTGGGAATTCTGGGAATTCTGGGCTGGGAATTCTGGGAATTCCGGGAATTCTGGGAATTCTGGGCTGGGAATTCCGGGAATTCTGGGCTGGGAATTCCGGGAATTCTGGGCTGGGA